AGGCAGGGCTCTTCGGAGGAGGGAAGCAAGCGGGGATGAGGCAGAGCACATCAGGGGAGGTGCCCCCCGTGGCACTGGGGCTCAGCAGGTGATGCCATCGGTTGCACCCGGACGCTGCTGGACAGACTCAGCTTCAGGAAAATGAGCACCTGAGACTCTGGGCAGAGCCACGTGCTCAGAAACCATCTGTGTTCACGCAGCCAAGCCCGTGTCGAGAGGCTGCTTTTGTTTGCTTTCACCTTCCACACGCCGCAGCGAGGTCACGCTGGAGAGCACGCTGCTGAGAGCGAGCCGGGAGCGAGGGCCCGCTGAGCGCCGCGCTGATGCCACAGCCCTGGAAAATAATTAAGTACAAAACAACTAATCGTGATTGACACTGGCCCCCTGGAGACCCGTCAGCCGCCTTCCAAAAATGCTTCCCGTCTTTCCGATGACCCTGACGATGGTGAAGAAGGGACGGAATTGGTGCAGAGGCAGCCACAGCCCCTGGCCCCTTCCTTGTGTGGTGAGTGTGTCCGTCCTCAGTGGAGCTGCCAGCACCCTGCCCTCCTCACAGAGCCGCAGCAGGAAGCAGAGACCCTGGACCACCTCCTGCAGCCTTTCTGGCCATCGGCTTCACTCAGAGCCACAGGCACCCAACACCTCGCAGGGAAAGCTCAGGAGCAAGGAGGACAGAAGATAACAGCCTAAATGGAAGAAGATAACAGCCTAGATGTACACCAAGGTCAGAAAGCTCAAGAAAACAAATCCAGGCTCTTCTTGCAAATCCAAAAACAAATTTTCGTGTTCCTCCCTGCCCCCAGCCACACCAACAGGTGAGGAGAAAGGGCAGCACCTTCCACTGGGAACTCCTGAAGTCTTTAATTTGAGGAAAGCGTAACACAGCCGCTGGCAGGGAGTTCTGTAAGCTGTAACCGAAAGGTGCTGCGTCCACACAGAGCGGCACTAACCACGATACTCACTCTGAAACTGCACGCTCAGTGATGGGATTTCAGTATTTGGTGAGGGGGGGAAGAGAGGGCTTCATCTGCTGCTGCACCAGGAGTGAGAGCCCAAGGCTGAGGCTCAGCTGCCTCAGGAGGAGGAGAAGGGGCTCAGCACCCCCCTAGACCCCGGCTCACCTTGCGAGGCAGCAGGCTGTCAGGGTTGTGCTGAACCAGGGGCAGCCCGATGGCCACTCGAGGACTGTGGCAGCACCACCAGCCACAAACCAGGTCCGTGGTGCCAGCAGCAGTGGGACAAAGACAATCACCAGGCACCGTTTCCCTGCGCACAAGCTCAGTACCTCCCCACATGGTGTCACCCTCCACAGGTGACAGCAATTGTGCTGGCTTGGGGCACTGCAATATCATGGGGACACAGAACATCACAGGGACCTGCAAGACCCTCAGGCAGGAGCAGCATAAGCAACCCAAAGGCTTGCCATGTCCTCAGCCCTCTCCAAGGGCTGGAGCAAGGATGTGATGCCCCACCAGACCTGGTTCTGCCACCATGCCCAGTACCAATGGTGATTACAGTGTGACATCCAAGCTCAACTCTTTAGTCTCAGAGGCAAGACCAGCCTCTCACAGCTATTATTGTTTTAATCTGGTTTTATGCAGGCTCAGCAGATGACACCACATCAGATTGCACCGACAAAAGCTCATCTACATGACTGGAAGGGGAGGAGTGTTGGAGGAGCCAGCCCAGAGCTGCTGCCGGGGAGCTGAGCCCAGGGTCTTCCACATGAGAAAGTCCAACATAACATCCTGTCTAAAATTGGGAAGACCTTCCCAGTCCTTACCCCAGCGTGGGGTGCAGGGCAGCTGCATCAAGCAGCCCCTGGCTGTGCTGAGGGACCACGCACCCCCTGAGCAGCGCAGCAAAGGGGCACACACAGCTGCTGAAGCCACCAACCTGAAGCAGCTTTTGCTCACGTGGGTCCTGACATCCCTCTCTGAAATCACTGGCCAGCCATGGGGAGGTGCTGGAGCAGCTGGGCACCTTTGGCCAACTGGGGCTGGTGCTGAAAGCAGCCGCCACAACGCAGGGCAGACAAAAAGACAAAGAGCTGAGTGAGCACCATGAAAACACTCAAAGTGCTGGGAAACCACCTCCAATTAGATCTTCACTGCAGCGCTAAATGGACAGAGCTCCCAGGAAGCAATTCCCAGGCTTTGCTTTTACGCCGCACGCGATTAAGAATTAAAACAACCCAAACCTGAAGCTGTGTTCTAACAAATGACCAAACACCCCGGGAGGTGAGGAGAGCCCTCATGGTTTTTTCATGCCTGTTACACAAGCACAGGCGACCCACGGGGCAGGAGGCAGCTGCCCCCACCAGTGTCCAGCTCGGCCGTGCCGCCCAGCGCCCGGGAATGCTTGGCTAGCTGGCTTCTGCATCTCACAGACACGTGAGCAAGTGGGCTGGCGACAGCAACTGGCATTTTGGGTGACTATAGCACTGCTGTTCCGCGCCTACAGCCATTGTGGTCCCTTCCTGTATGAATACATCCAGGCTCCAACAGATCTCGCTGAGCAGATGCTATCGGGCAACTCCACCACCAGCTACAGCAACCTGGTATTTAAGCTCTTTGCAATCCCAATATGTAACAGATGAAGATGAGATCAAGGAAGATGTATATGACAAGGAGAAAAACAAGCCCAGCTGCAACCAAAAGCTGTGAGATCCAGTTCTGCTGTGACAATAGTGAGTTGGCGGCTCGGCGGCAGCTTAGCCCTTGCCCCAGTGCCACAGGGGTGCCCGGGTGCTGCCTGAGGCATGGTGTGACACCTTGGGGACAAGATCCTACCTCGGCCCGGGCTGAGGGGTAGGGGTGTGCTGAGACTCAGTGGCTGGGTGCCAGGTGGGTGTGGGTTGGTCCCTCTGCCTGCTCAGGCAGCAGCGCCAGGGACACCAGGACCCCCCGCCTTTGGGAGGGCTGATGCCGATCGGAGGTGGAGCCCCATGCACAAGCCATGGCTACCTGTGATGTCTGTCTGGGCATCCTCGGCCTCAGCAGCTCTGCTCTTCCTCTCCAGTTCTTTCATTTCAGGCACGTAGAAGTCCCCTTGGCGGGCGAGGGGACA